AAAAAAAAAAAAAAAAACCTTGTAAAAAGAAACATTTGACCTGCTAATTACTTTAGTTTACGAGTTTTTCTTTCTGAAATAACATTAGTTGATAACTCTTCAAGTAACCCATTTGTTGGGTTTAACGTTTTATCAGTAGCTTTAATTTTACTGGTTTGCCATTTTAACCCTTTTTGGCAGAAATTCTGACCCATTTGATAAGCTGCTGGTCAAAACTACTCAGTGTGAGCTTGAGTCTAAATTAGAACCAGGACTGTTAAAAGTTACTTTTTATTAACACTATTCATTAAGTCACTTTCAGGTTCTCTGTTATCCATCGTCTCTTTGTTTAACGGCAAACACGAACCTTCTGAACCTCAGAGTTCGCTTAACGACGTCCTGGTTCAGACGTGTACGTTTCCAACCACTTAGAAATTTTTGTTTGTTTTAGGTTTTAGAAGCTTTATGAGCATAAATATATTTTCTCTGTCTTTGTTTTGGAAAAATACTTCAGAGGCATAAAGGAAATTGCCTTCTGTTTACACCAGAAGTCATTTTTCTCTAATTTGACGCCGCCCTGTTTCATCAGAGGATGCTTTGAAGATTTCCTGAAAAAACAGGAAATGCAGCTGGGGATGGAGAGCGTGTGGACTCGTGACGCAAACTGGAAAGAGCAGTTTGAAACGTTTATTTCTTTTTTATGTCCACTTTAAGGCGATGAAAGCGGGTTTTCAACACAACTTTAGCGGTGTTGAGGAAAACTGATGAGCGGAAACACGTGAAACGGGCTTTTTCACAGCAGTTGGAAATGACTAAACTGCACAACATCACCTTAAAGTGCTGCTGAAAACTACAAGTGCTTCTTATAACAGAAAGAAAGTTTTCTTCTAATAAAATCCTGCTACTCTCAGAAGTTGGATTTATAAAAATGTGTTGCTTATTTTTAAAGGTGGGTGCTGATCAATTCTTATTTCTGCTAAATAGTGCGTGTCCACTTCATATAGAGTATTTAGATATACAGTAAGATACAAAGTATACTTTGTGGTTCTTTTATTGCAGACTCGCTCTATCGCGGTTTTTCAAAATAAGATTAGATTTGACACACGATTGGTTGATTGATGGATGAGCCACATGAGCAGCATGGATTGTTTACTTAAAATAATTTTAAATGATTTAGCACCTGCTGCACTTGTGTGCAGCCCACAGGTGCAGGGAGAAGCTCCCTCCTGCAGCCTGTCAGGATCTCCATTCTCTGCCACCTGCGGCTCTCTGCCACGCCCACATTTCTGCTCTGTGCTGAAGCAGTTTCGTAACTGATCGACTTTTGTCTTCCAACTTCAAATTCAAATACATCGTAAAATCATCATAATCACAAATTATAAAAGTGTTGTTTTTTTTAATTATTATTATTTTAGAACTTCTATGTTCTGTTGTTACAGTGTAATTGATCAAGAAGTAGATTTCTGCCCTGTGCTGCGGAGCTGCGTGAAGGGTTAACACTTTACTGTCCTGCTGCGCTTCTCTTCTCTACAATTTAAATTTAAATACTGTAATATTCTAAATATTACAGTATTTAAATTTAAATTGTCTATTTACACAGAAGGTGGGAGTTTGGGAGTGAAACTTGAACTTAGACTACTGTATCCCTACTTCACGGTTTGTCACTTATTGCAGCGGGCGTGGTCCCATTAACCTCGTGATAACCGAGGGACTTCTGCATTTTGTTTTCTAACAAAACAGTGATTATTTCACGCCCGTGTACTTTGCTGTTCCTATCATTATATGCAACCCTGTGCAGGATCAAACAGTGAGTGGATGGATACACACAGCTGTGATAAAATGCATCATTTCATTTTGTTTATCGTTTAAAGTCCTGCATTGAGAAGAAAACTCTCCAACTCTTGCAATCACTCTGTTGTCGTTTTATAAATATTCATGTCAGGCACAGATTTTTGACACTGCAGATCTACTGAAGCTGCTTATCTGAAATACAGCCTGCTTGTGTTTTTAGGCAAATATATTAAACTGTCTTATTGAGGCCTCGGTAGCTCAGGGGCAGCGCCATGGCCTTGCAATCCTGAGGCTGCGGGTTCAAGCCCAGGTTGTGTTAGCAAAGGCATCAGGCGTAAAACAACTGACAATTATTTCAAGTCGTGGCAGCAACCCCTGCAGAAAGGAACACCAAATTAAACTGTCTCCTGTTTTAGAAGCTTAATGCCAGTTTCTGTTTTTATAACTGCTTCAATAAAATGTATTTTATCCTCTGGGTGTTACTCAGAAAACACCCGGAGCTACAAACCAGCGTGCCCAGAATTCAGAATGCAAAACAATTAAAAGAATTCAAAACAAATCGCCTCGTCTCCATTCGAAAACATACAAGTTAAATTGTGAAAGTCAAAAACCAAAACGGAGCTGGTCAAAGAGATGGTCTCTGTTTAAACCCAACGGGTCGGGTACGTGGGGACCAAACTACAAAATAACAATTGGGCCGAGGTACGAACTGACCTGGAGGAGGCTTTGGGGCTAAGGACTAAAGTTTCAGAACCCTCCCTGGTCCTGGCTGTGACCACAAACCTCTGAAATGTGTTTCGGACCTGCTGGGTGTCCATCCGCAGGGGATCTACACCTTACAGTAAGACTCTCCAAAGCTGAACAGAACCTCTTTTGGGTTGAAAACTACAAATAGAGAAAACACAAGAAATGAACGAAGCTAATCAAGAATGTACATCTGTCAAGTTTTAAGCACCAAGGAGCTCGACGGTTCTCTGATCGCGCTCTTCATCCGTGCATTCTGCAGCGAGTTCTGATGAGCTGGGACGAAGACGGGTCCTGCACTGCAGCAGGTCGGGATATTAGCCTGAACGTGTCACCGACCTAAAGCAGCACCGAGTTCCTGAGGCCTCTTGTTCTGTCCATTGGAATGTCTCCTCGAAAAGCTCCTTTCCATCTGACCCCTTTGAGTTTTATTCCACCTCGGATGCTCTTTGACTCCAGCTGCAGCCAAATCTGCCTCCCACAGACGCTCCCGGCCACAGCCGAGCATGAGACACTTCACTTTGTCTCCGGTCATCACGTCCCATCCTGCTGCGGGAAGGTGGTACAGTGGGCGACTATTTTGAAGCGCTGAACTTGTTTTTTTCTTTTACAAACTGGCATGTGTTATAAATAGAACCAGAAGCATTAGATTAACAGCAAAGGTTTTAAAACTAAATCCTGATATTCAAATCAAGAAGGAAATGTTTCAGTAGAAAATGTATTGTGCCATAAATCAGCTGTTTGACAACAACAGATCAAAAGCTTGGAAATAACCTATTCATATTTTTGAACCGCATCTCTTTTAGTATGACATTTGTATTAAAATACACAAAATCCTAACATATACATTCATGATTTACAAATTAAATGTGTAATTCACTTCTATAACATACATCAAAAATATATGAATAAAAAATACACCACTGCTGTTAGCAAACCAAAATGAGATGTGAATTTAAAAAAAGGCTTAAAAAAATAAAAACATGGTTTCCCTCCCAGCTTCATGCCGGCTCCTCCTCCACACAGAAAAAAATAAAATTAAAAAAAGAATTTTGAAAATGAGTTTGTCCAAAAAGTGCTGACAAAGAAAGGAAAGTGAAAACCTGTGCACAGTTTGTTCTGGTCGGAACAGAGCACAGTCTGTCAGCTGGGTCCAACAAGCGCAGGTATAAAGCTCAAAACCTTTGTGCCCCACAGGGTAAAAAAAAAAAAAAGATCCATGATGCATCTGGAGCAGTGATGCGGTCCAGCATTCAGACGATGTACGTGGGGAGTTCTGTGGAGAGTTTCACGTGTACATGAGCTTTCATACATCCTGAGGAGAGACCAGAACGGACAGAAACATCAGATGACAGACAGAAACAATCATGTGACATACAGAAACAATCATGTGACATACAGAAACAATCATGTGACATACAGAAACAATCATGTGACATACAGAAACAATCATGTGACATACAGAAACAATCATGTGACATACAGAAACAATCATGTGACATACAGAAACAATCATGTGACATACAGAAACAATCATGTGACATACAGAA